TTCTGTGTCTGTCCCTGAGTAACAATTCTGTGTCTGTCCCTGAGTAACAATTCTGTGTCTGTCCCTGAGTAACAATTCTGTGTCCCTCAGTAACAATTCTGTGTCCCTCAGTAACAATCTGTGTCCCTCAGTAACAATGTCTGTGTCCTGTCCCCTGAGTAACAATTCTGTGTCCCTAAGTAACGGTTCTGTGGCCCTAAGTAACGGTTCTGTGGCCCCTAAGTAACGGTTCTGTGTCCCTAAGTAACAATTCTGTGTCTGTCCCTGAGTAACAATTTCTGTGTCCCCTAGTAACGGTTCTGTGTCCCTAAGTAACGGTTCTGTGGCCCTAAGTAACGGTTCTGTGGCCCTAAGTAACGGTTTCTGTGTCCCTAAGTAACGATTCTGTGGCCCTAAGTAACAGTTCTGTGGTCCTAAGTAACGTTTCTGTGGCCCTAAGTAACGTTTCTGTGTCCCTAAGTAATGTTTCTGTGGCCCTAAGTAACGGTTCTGTGTCCCTAAGTAACGATTCTGTGGCCCTAAGTAACGATTCTGTGGCCCTAAGTAACGTTTCTGTGGCCCTAAGTAAACGGTTCTGCTGTGTCCCCTAAGTAACGATTCTGCTGGCCCTAAGTAACGGTTCTGTGGCCCTAAGTAACGTTTCTGTGGCCCTAAGTAACAGTTCTGTGGCCCTAAGTAACGGTTCTGTGGTCCTAAGTAATGTTTCTGTGTCCCTAAGTAACGTTTCTGTGTCCCTAACTCTCTCCCTCAATACAGCCAGGTCTGCCTCTCTTGAATGACTGGAGGCAAATGGAGAATTCTAAAATGGCCGCAATTTATAGCTCGACCATTACACAGTGCTGGCTGGCTGGCTGCTGTTTGGGTAATGCGATCACATGTCATGAATGAATGCATTATGGGTCAGCGCGCCTTGTCTGCGCGCCTTCCCAGAGATCCCCGCTCCGTCGCCGCACATGTCGCCGCCATTTTTGGAAAAATTTCGATTTTCGCGCATCCGAAGTCTGCTAATTTTCGGATTCGTCGCGAATCGAAAAATTTTCCTAATATTCGAAACGAATTCCACTTCGCCAAGTTTGATTCGCTCATCTCTAGTGGGAACCTTTATGCCTTCAGGCTTCTGCGGCTCCTCCTCAGAAGGGTGTGGTTGAGCACATTTAAACCTGCTGTCTGCAAGTGTGCTCTGCACTTGTGTCCTGTATGTTGCCCTGTTGCAAGCTCTTGTGTTTGTTCCCATTGCTCTCCTGGTAACCGACTCGGCTTGGACAAGACTACTCTCTGCGTTAACCCTTTACTTGACCTCCCGTTGCTGAACCCAGCCCGTGACCTGAGTATTCTTTGCCTACCGTCTAGTACTGTCTGCTCCGTTGTTATTGACCCGGCCTGTCTGACTACTCTACTCGTGTTCCCATCTAGCTCCCACCAGCTGTACGCCATTGGCGGCAGTCGTTATCGCAGCTGGGGTCACTCGGGGGCCGCGACCTGGTCTCAGGCTGCGTCAAGTCCATCCCCACCATCAGGGGCCCTGGTGAAGGGTAGCCTGGGGCTTAGACTCCGCGCCCTGAGGGACTCTGGTCTGTGGGTAGTGGCTGTCGTCAGTCGCGGCGTGACCATACCATAGGCCTGCCTGCCCATTCCAGCGTTCCTGCCCTGACACTACCAATCTGTCCTCCAACTAACACCTTATATTTTTCACAAAACCTATTGCCACTCCCTTAACTCTTCTAATTGGGGAATCTGCATAGAACCACAATGGATAATATCTAGAATTTAATTTCACATTTGTTCTCTCCCCAAATGAGTCTCCTGTCAGAAAACCACTAAAGACAATCTATGCTGGATCTCTTTAAATATCCTAAATCTCTTCCCAGGGCTATTTAATCCATTAACATTATAAGTTACAAAATGTATCTCTTCCATTCTTCCTTATTCTCCTATCCTCTCCTCCGTCCCCTCTCTCCTCCTTTCTTGTCCATATCTTCTCCTTCGTTCTCTAGAGCTTCTCCAGGCAACTATATCTCCCACTATATCGCAGAGACTAAAACTACCTACCCACTCCCCCCCACCCTCTCCTATCTTCCCATCCCCCCCACCCCCCCTTTCCATTGCCTCCCCATATCCCTCTCCCACCCATCAACCCCCCCCCCTTCCCTCCCATTTAAGGCCAAGATTTTGCCTGTGAATCATTTGTGGTCCTAATCCCACCTTTGATTCAATTTTAGGGTGGAACTCTGCGTCTGGCCACCCCTTCCTAGTTACCCTACCCCCCAGCGTCCTGCCAGACCTGCCTGAGAAAAAAAAAGCCAAAAAGGAATAAAAGAGGGAGGGGACAAAGGTAGGGGAAAGGAGAAGGAGGAAAAAAACCCCAATAAATCCCCTAACTATATATTCTTCCCCTTCCCTCCCTCACAACCCCCCCCCCCCCCCCACCCCCCTCCTAGCTTATCTGTCAACTTCCGTTCTCCATATTTCACCACTACTACTCATCCCCCCACCCCACCCCAGGAATGTCTACATTCTGCAACTCAAGTCTCTCTCAGAAGTCTCTTAGTTCCTTAAACTTTAATCTTGCAGAGCGCCCGTTCTTCCACCCAATTAAACATGCTGGGGTTCCCCAGCTGTATCAGACGTTCTGCTTTTTCATTTGTTCAGCTAATGGTTTCAGGATTTTCTTTCTTGCAAGTGTCTTTGCAGCTAAATCAGCAAAGATCTGTATATTTATCTCTCCATATTTTATAGCCGCTCTTCCTTTCATCTTCCTTCAAATTTCATCTTTGTCACGATATTGATGAAATTGAACAATAACATCTCTTGATATTCCATTCCTACCCCCTTGATACAGTCTTCCTATTCTATATACTCCATCTATTTTATAGATTTGCCACAGATCTGTCCATTATTATTTCAAACATCTTCTCTATTGTTTCCTTCAAATCTTCTCCTTGTGAAATCTCAGGCAGACCTCGTATTCTTAAGTTGCTTTTTCTATTTCTATTTTCCCGCTCTTCTAATTTATATTGTAAGTTTCTTTGTTCTTTTTTCATTTCCACCATTTGTTTTTCTAGATTCTGTATCACTTGGGCATGTTTGTTTATTTTACCTACCTTCTCCTCCATTAGAATGGAGTAACACCTGCCCCAAATCTATATGTAACTTCCCCATCTCTTGTTTTATAGATCTTTCCAAACTTTTAAACATTCCTGAACACGGTTCAGATTATGCCAAGAATACCTCTAATGTTAATGCCATGTACACCACTATCAGCCCCAGCCAATTGGTGGTGAATATACTCAATACTAAGAATGCACCCACAAATCAGTTTTTACCCATCCATTGACCAACAATTACAACAAGTTACTATTCAACAGACTCAAATAAAACTACAGCAGAAAAAAGCATGCACTGCATGTAACTCAGAATTAGGATACAAGCAAAATAATAATATGATCAATACATGAACTTTTGAAAGGCTAATAAAATGTAGTTTACCTGCATTTGGTGTTAAGTGAAACACCAAAGAAGAAATAAGATTTCCCCAAACGCGACAAGTTTGGCAAATAAGGAAAAATATTCCAAAATACTGGTTCACAACATCTTTTGCTAATTTCCCACAAGTCTCTGCATATTTGTTTCCAGTTATTGTAATGTAAGTGCTTTTACTAGCCCAGAGAGGTCCTCCTCCTAATCCAACTAATACAGAGGAAATAATCAACGTAGGCCTGTAGAAAATATATACATGTTTCAATTAATAGATTATCATAATTCTCTTTTTATAAAATACTATGGAAATATCAAGATTTATTTATCTTACCTAAACAGTTTACATTGCAGGAATTATTTAAATATATTTACATATATACTGGTAATTTACATAGTAAATCCTTTAATTAAATATTTTGTTGCTGTTTTTCTTCTGATTAACTTGTTATATTAACATGTTCTGGCCATGGTCATATTTTATTTATTTTAATTTACATTAAAAAAACATTAGCTGTGCCATAGATAAAAGATATTTTCTTGCTCCCCAAACACGTGGCCTAAAATGACCACTGTTAACTTGTCTACAAGTTGAACAGAAATGCAGAGCATTTTATTAATCAGTTGTGTCACACAGTGGAACAGGAATACCCTCTCAACACATTTCACAGAAACCTGCTTTGCTAGGAGATTTGGGGGGTGGGGGTTTAATACATCTATACTACAAAAAAATAGCTACAGCCCAAATATGTCACATCCAAATCGCACAAAAGAAGTGCAAGACCCTTTTTTTTTAAAAAACTGTGTTGCACCAAAATGAGTGGTAATTTATTACCATGTATTTTGCCAAGAGATTTCATGCATAAATGAAAGCAAGCCAGGTGTGTTCCTACATCTCACATATAGTATGTGAACCTAGCCTTATGCACAAAATTCTGTCCCAATTTTGCCTAATAATGTGGGGATCATCTGAATAGATCTAGCTTCCCATTTTGATGACATGTAACCCAGAAAATTAATACAACCAAAAGTTTATTTTGGTTTAATTAAAGTATTAAGGAAAAAACATACCCAACACAGAGTGACAACCTGTGAGGGCATATATCAGGCTCCTATGTGCCACGTCCCATAATGATAATCAACTGAACCAAGGAAACATAAAAAGGCCAATAACAGACTTTAGAGGCACTGCATCAAAAATATTTTTAAAAAAATCACTTTATTGTTTAAATGTAGACCATCACATAGGAATACATACAGATTATTCTGCTAAGAATGTAAAACTCTCAAGAGGGGGTGAGGCATTCTATGCAGATTACAAAAACTAGTCAATAATGATTAAAAATTAATACAAAAATACCGTAGCCCTGTAAAAGTATCAAAAGACATAGATCAGATGTCAATGTTAGTAATCACCAGGGGCAGACTGACAACTCATGGGGCCCCTGGGCAATAGGGGATCATGGGGCCCCTGTGTCCTTGCCCAAACTCAAAAAAGCCTATGAAAAAGGTACCAGGGGCATCTCATGGGGCCCCCTACTGACCCCGGGCCCTCGGGCAAGTTTCCAAATGGTCAGTCCACCCCTGGTAATCACTCTGTAGTTACTCAACATGTTTCACGAAAGTATCGCTTCTTCAGGAGTTACTTGAGGTATCAGCTACAAAGCAGAAGGTATGTCGGGATAGATGGTAAAAACACATGGAACAACCACGTGTCAGGCAAGTCAGCAAGGCGATCTCACCAGGATGATAGACCACTAAGCAGTTCTTGAAAGGGAGGATCTTTATTCTTCCAAACTTGAAGACTGCAAAAAATGATGATATTATTGTCGATTTTAAAGCCCAAACGGGCCACTTAAAAATATTTTCTGAAGTAAACAATGTAGAAAAAGTAATGTTAAGGCCTCAAGAGATTCCACTCAGCCAAAATAGTCACTGGTCAACATTTGTAAAATCTTGTTAGGGTACAGAACAAAGGAAACGCTACAAGGACATACAGCCAGTATGATAGTGTATGTTGGTCTCACAAGATCAAGATCAAATCAGGCATATGGGATAACTAATCCAGCTCATGTCTGAACTGAAAGATCCAATACCTGGCCAGTCCCACCTAAAGCATCTCCTGTTATAAGGGCCCACACAGGGCCCACACAGGGCTGACTCAAGGACCAAACTGCCCGTGATGGTAATGTCTAGTGTAGGATTCCGCCACTCTCTGTCCCACTGTAGCTGAGAGAGCTGGATTAGTTATTCCATATTAAAAATTGTGGAGAGTAAAGCGAGCGCTAAAACCAAAAGCAGCTGAACACACTAAAAAAGTAAACCATATGCCTTCAATGCAATCTAAAAAATAATGGTGCAGCGCTAAAACAATGCTAAGAATAAAAACAAATGCACAAAAATTATAAATAGAAGAAAAACACGAATAACATAAACGCACATAGGTAATAAATGCGTCTTGCTCATATAAAATACTCGCACAGTGATTGTAAGTGCGTTATGGTCCGACAGATACAGTATATATATATAACTGAAGGTGCAAATGTCCATAATAAACGCAAAACTATAAAATGCGTTAAGATCATAAAAGTCATTAAAATCTTAGAAACAGATCTCCAGGTGACTTCAGTAAAATCCCAGTGTGCTTATACTCCTTAGGTGGATGTGCCAATAAATATATAAAATAAATAAGGATGGTTTCACTAACGAATTTTACAAAATTTTTGCTCCTGACCTGTAAGATTGTAAGGAATGTTACAATCTATAATCACCACAATTCCTAAACCAGGTAAAGACCCTAAAATTGTTCAAAACTACAGACCTATTTCACTACTTAACACAGATCTAAAACTCTATGCTAAAATAATAGCCCAAAGACTCCTCCAATACCTCCCCATTCTAATACATCCTGACCAAGTAGGATTTATCCCTGGACACCAAGCCCCAGATGCAACTAGAAGACTCATATCCCTTATCCATAAATTAGAAAGCACCAAACAGCACTCCTTACTATTATCCCTAGATGCAGAAAAAGCATTTGACCGCATACACTGGCACTTTATGCAACAAACATTACAGAAATTTGGTATCACAGGATGGATGCTATCAGCGATTCTCTCCCTATACTCCAACCCATCAGCCAGAGTTTTAACGGATGGCACACTCTCAGACTCATTCAACATCTCAAACAGCACGAGACAGGGATGTTCCCTATCCCCCATAATATTTACTCTACTAATTGAACCATTAGCCTCAATACTTAGAGACGACGCAGCATTTACAGGAATCACCCATCTGAAAACAGAACATAAAATCAGCCTATTCGCGGATGATATTCTACTAATGATAACTAACCCACACAAATCGCTACAGACAATCCGCGCACATCTCCAATATTATTCGGAAGTGTCCTACTATAAACTTAATGAAACCAAATCCTCCATCCTAAACATCCATACACCGATCCGGACTCAAACAATACTTGCCAAACAATTCCCCTTCTCTTGGGAACAACACCATATCTAGGAATCAAACTCACTGCTACGACAGATCGGTTATATTCCACAAATCACAAATCTCTACTTGATAACATACCAAAGGAACTCACTAACCTCCGCACAGCAACACTATCCAAATTGGGACGAGTAGCAACCCTAAAAATGTATATATTACCCAAAATCCTCTACATATTCCGCACACTCCCCCATACCCATTCCCAATGCTTTCTTCTCTAAACTACAAGCTACCTTCTCCAAATTTCTCTGGAACTCCAAGAAACCTAGATGCGCCACAAATCTCCTAATACGTCCTACATCCAGGTCTCCCACATCTAAAATCATACTATAATGCCTCCCTTCTCGACCAACTTTATTTTTGGTGGCATCCAACTAAAGAAAAATCTTGGTCCACCATGGAAATGCTTCCTCTCTTCTCTCTTGTCCCACGTAATATACCCCTCCTTCCACAAATACCTCAATCCAAATCCCTATTTAAACACCCGTGCATCAAGGCCTCCCTTTAAGCCTGGTATGATCTCCAATCATCTAACTCTCTGGAAACCAAACTGATACCTACCCCACTTAATACATTACATCTCACTACACCCTCTCTAAACCTTGAACAGAGGGACAAATGTGGTATAGCACATATACAAGACCTATACACAGACCATAAACTAGATCCGTTCTTGATTCTCCAAAAGAAATTTAACCTTCCCAACACTGAATACTTCACCTACTTGAGAATAACTCACTCTCTGCAAACAGTATAAATCCCGCTTCTTTCAAAAATCCCCACTACCGTATACAACTTTTTCAACAAATCAAAATACCCAAAAAAAGGTATTTCAACCTTTTACACGCACACAACAAATAAACAATTTACCATTCAAACTACTTCTTTAACCAATTGGGAGAAAATTCTCTCACTGCCAATAACATCACAAAATTGGGAAAAAACCTTTCAACAACAAATTGGGAAAAAACCTTTAAAAAAATTACCTACAAAGCGTCTAGATGTAGTGCACATTTGGAATCATATATGAAAATTTTACACCAATGGTACTTAACACCCACCAAACTCTCACTATACTACCCACAGCATTCCCATGCCTGCTGGAGACATTGTGGGGAAGCAGGCTCCACATTCCACATATTATGGATGTGTAAATCACTCAGATCCTATTTAAATAAGATCTTTCACTTGATCTCAACACTTACGGAAACTTCCATAGCTCCAAACCCTGCCCTAGCCCTTCTCCACATTGGAATAGCGGACTTCCCAAAAGACTCTCGTACCATCATTATTCACACTTTAGCCGCTGCCAAAATTAATATTACTAAACTATGGAACACTACTAAAACCCCCTCTCTCAACTCACTATTAAAAGACCTTAACTTACAATGTGATATGGAAAGAAGAATAGCCCTGAATAACGTCACATATCACTCATTCAAATTTCAATGGTCCCGTTGGTTACAAAACCCAAACTGTTCTGAAAAAACCTGATAAGCCAATCTCTTAACACTTAGACCTCTATCTCTAGACTGGTGCATTATCCCCCTCCCCCCCTCCCTTCTCCCCCCCCACATTACTCCACACACTCCCATCCTTTACCCCCCCCCACTATAACCTACCCACCTCAACACAGTTCAGACCTAACATAACATACCTCTCATGTCTATGCATCATACGTATATATAATCCTCAGCCAAATGGTGAGGATCTTATGACAAAATAATCTGTATTGTTATACCTGCTATGAATCGTATTGAATTATCCTAATATGTCAAAACCCTTTTAATAAAAATTATTGAACATAAAAATAAAAAAGGGGATTATATTAGTAATATCCAATCCGCATAGTAAAAAGAAGATAAATAAACAATGTGTGAAATATAAATATAGAAAAATGTAAAAAAGAGTATAAAAGAAAAGGGTACAAACAATACCTAAAAAGCAATAAAATGCTTAAAAATGCTAAAAAAAGAGCGTATAGACCAGGATGCCTCAAAATAATGCTCCATAAAAAGAGAGGGGGGGGGGGAATAGTATATAATGTATATTCATTAATAAAATTATAAAAATATGATTGCTAATGAGCAATAGTGATGATTACAACTAAACACATATAGACCAGGATGTACTGAAAAACACTTAACATCAAGGCCGAATAAAGCTAAAGTCCATAATCTATCTAAGATGTATAATTTATGGACACAAATTCCTAACTGTTATCGATAAAGCAATTTAAATCAATATCTACATCTATTTCAACCGCGGTCAAATATATCTACATCTATTCCAACCGCGTTCAAAGTCCTCATATTGAAGATCCATTTGGTCTCAGCCTGTGAGACCAATCTGGTCTTATTTGACCCTCTCCAGTGGTTTGCAATGATTTATATACCCAAGAATACTCCAATTCTTATTTATAATTTTATTAATCGCTTTATACTGAAGTGAGAAAGTTGTCACTAATGGAGACATTTTACTTGTTCTCTGAATAGTGGAATTGGATAACATGACATTTCTGTTTATCTTGGCTACATTATCCATTTCAATATTTAATTTAGCCTCATCGTAACCTATTTGAACCTATTTTTTAATATATCAGCCTTGATATGATACGATGTCAGATTGGTGCAATTTCTTCTAACCCTCATAAATTGACTCTTGGGTATGTTAGCTAGCCACATAGGTTTGTGGCAGCTATCTGTGGGAATAAAGCTGTTCCTATCCGTGTTCTTAAAATATGCTTCACAAATGATGTGGTCTCCGTTATTAATGAGCGTTACATCCAGAAAATTAATTTCTTTTGTGCTATATTCATAGGACAGCTTGATATTTAAATTATTATTAAGGGTTCTAAAGAAATTAACCAAAGAACTTTCCTCTCCTTCCCATAATAGTAAAATGTCGTCTATAGATCACCTATAGAATTTTAGCTTGTGCGCAGTACAATGCCAATATTACATCCCGGACTACCCCTAAGGGACCCGTGAATGCTCAAGATTATATGATACAACGCGCTTTTTTATTGGTGCATCTGGTGAGTGCGCATTTTATATATTTATTGGCATACCCAC